AACCCTGTTCCTGGCGGCACACCAACACTGTGCATATTCTTTGTCTCCCTAATCAGACACGCCTGATTCAACTCATCAACTCATTAACCCATCTGATTATGAGCTGATGGGTTGAATCAGGTGTGTTTGATAAGGGAGAGAAAGAATACACGCAGTGTTGGTGTGCCGCCAGGAACAGGGTTGGGAAACACTGGAATAGTACACAGCCAGTTCAACCTCATATAAATCAGGTTATGCGTGCCTCCCGCTCACGAGCGCTCACTCTTAACAGACACACGAACAGACACACTGTCCCTGGCGCTGCTAGCGCATCACAGAATGTTCATAGCTCTCCCTGTTCACAGTAACCGGGTCATCTCATTCAAAACAGCCAGCCGTTGCGGTCAGCGAGCCGCCACACATTGAATACTCATATGAGTAAGGCTGCGAACGTAAGTTACGTGCCCACCCCAGCATGCTCACACTAATAAACGCCTCACCCCCGGTGCCACGCACTCGCTACATTGCCAGCACATCTGGATGCATAACGCAAACCCAGTCAAACGTTTGACTGCATTATCTTATGCGCCTTATAATCCAGTGCGCCTTAAAGTGCGGAAAATATACATGCGTTTTATATTTAGCCTGAAACAGTGGTGGAATGTAACGAAGTACAAATAATTTGTTACTTTACTTAAGTAAATTTTTCACGTATCTTTACTTTACTTAAGTAGAATAAATAGTGCATACTTTTTACTTTTACTTCGTTACATTTTGCAGCAATTATTATACTTTCTACTCCACTACATTTCTACAACTTCTGTTACTTTTTCGTTACATTTTCTGATCAGTTTTTCCCCTGACAAAACGTAATCTGACCGTCCGTCCGTTGCACGTTTGTCTCACCAGTGACGTTTGGTTGCCATAGATATATCAACCCGGTCACACTAAATGCGTCTCGCACGCAGTGCGTTTGGTTTATCGTGCAATTTATACGCGAAAATTAGTTTTTACGTGCATAGGAAATGTGTGTAATATTCGTTTGCTTAGGATTATGGCAAGCCAAGAGGTTCAGAATTACACCATAAATGAATCGTGTTTACTGCCAAACATAGTTATTAACATATAGTAAGGATAAGCATGATGTGCATATTGCCTAATTGCAAGCTTGTTTCAGAAATGGTGACAACAATTTTTTCCATAATTATTGAACATCATTATAGGAGTATTAGGATGAATGAGTTAGAATTAAATGTTTTATTAATCATTAGAAAATAGACATTAAGAAAATATATTATACAAGTACTTTTACTTTTAATACTTAAAGTACATTTAAAATCAGGCACTTTTTACTTTTTACTTCAGTATGGTTGTCATTGTGTTACTTCTACTTTTACTTTTTTTTACATTGTGTTACTTCTACTTTACTTTTAGTAAATATTTATCTGGATATTTGTACTTTTACTTAAGTACTGAGATTCAGTACTTCCTCCACCACTGGCCTGAAATAGACAAGCATTCATGCGTGACAAAAAATCTTCAAGTTTTAGGAGGCAAAATATATTTTTTGTAATTCTGTGAATTACACTGCTCAAATCAGATGAGGAAGCGTTGGCTCTCCACAAAACATAAAATATTATTTTTCATGTTCACAGAGGAAAAAACAATGTTACAGACGTGACAGTTCTCCGACGGACACGAGCGCTCTGAAGCAGCACTGCTTTAAAACTTTCACAGACCTCAAACAGAAAAGCACAAAGCCTTTCTTTAAAGTGAATTTCGTTTTTTTTTTTTTTTTTCTTGATTTTAATTAATGTTTCATCAATCAATTGTCTGGATTAAATAAATAAGAAGGAAAAGCAGACAATTAGGCTAGCCTACTAATAATCAAGGCACGGATGCACCGATGTGTGTGAACTGGAGCTCGTCTTATAAATATAGCTACCGCCACTCAGCGTATAAGTATAGTCTACTCCACAGACCTGAAACATAGACTATATTGAAATGTCTACTTGTAAATAGAACGATTCAAAACGAAAGAAAACGTAATGCTCTCTGCTTATGAAATGAACTGTGCATTTCTCTCTGGTGCATGCACTATGCGAAGATCGCGCAGCATCGTCAACTTCAACTTCTTTATTAATAAACAATTAAAATGTCTCCTTGCTATATTTGTTCTTTGTGACAGCCAGTGTTGTAGTCGAGACCACCTCACTCGAGTCCGAGTCGACACCGAGACCAGAGAGAGTCGAGTCCGAGTCAAGACCGAGTCCATAGAGAGTCGAGTCCGAGACCAGAGACGGTCGAGTCCGAGTCGAGACCGAGACCAGTGAGGGTTGATTACCTAATTTACTTTTATTTATTTAGAGAAATCCTTTTTTTTTTTTTTTTACTGAATTTACTTAGAGTTTAAAAAAATATGATCAGTTTAGGGTAAAAAGGCCACATAGTAGGTGGTGTTAAAGTAATTTTATTACAATTTATCATGAGCAGTTGCGCACTAGAAAATCACCAATCACTGGGCGTGTCAATCAATTTAAAGAAATATTTTATTAACATACATTAATAATCATGAAAAATATTTTTAATTGAACTCGAGCGGACTCGGGAATAATTCCGAGTCCTAAAAAAAAAAAATGTTCGAGTACGAGTCAATTCCGAGTCCAAATGGACACGAGTCCATGACAAGACCAAGACCATTAAAATATGGTCTTGAGACCGAGTCCGAGACGAGTCCGAGTCTCGAGTACTACAACAGGTGACAGCTTTTTATTTTCGGCAGCGCCGCTGCTACCCTTAGGCTAAAGCGTTACGTTACAAGCTTACCACCACATGAAAAACATGATTGGGTGATAAAAACATGAAAAATACTACCTAAACATAGCCTAACTGTTTATATTTATTAGAGAAAAAAAAAACACAGAACGAATAGCCTAATGGGCATACGTCCATCTCTTTTGTTTGAAATGGAAAAAAATACAGCTGCTAGACTTATCTAAAAAAAAAAAGGTTCGACTATCAGTCGACTACGGCAAAATCTAACGAATCAGATTCGACTATGAAAATCCATAGTCTAAAACAGCCCGACTGGAAGTACATGAGAAGTTCACACTACCAAATGCACTCCATAAATAGAACGTTTAAAAAAATTCATGTTGGTACCATAGGTACTCAAGGTAGTACCATATTAATATATTATTTTATATACCTTATAATTTATGTACATTAGAGCACTTTGTTTCTGCCAGGCCCCCTTTTTGTAGAGTAAAATATTTTCAAGTCCCCCCACCAACTGGAATTTGTCGCATCCAGTGTAGACTGCATCACAGATTATAATGGGTTCTATTTGCTTTTTCCGGGTCCCGCCACTCGAGTTGGGTGTAGACAAGTTGTTTTGGTAGTTGTGGAGTAGATTCATCATCTGCTTACGTTTACTTGGCACTGGCTATACATCATATCGAGGTGTAATATCATATCGGTTTTCAGACGAAAGTTGATATTTCAAAACTTCAAAACGCTTTTATATGTAATCTTTAGCAAATATTACAAAAGATATCTCACCCCAACTTTACTGTCAACTCTATAGTATCTGATTAACAAATGCAAAACAAAAAAGTCTAAAGAACAATATTCTTAAAGGGATAGTGCACCCAACAATGACATTTCTGTCATTATTTACTCACCCTCATGACATTCCAAACCTATTACCCTCATCTTCGGGACACAAATGAGGATCTTTTTGATGAAATCTGAGAGCTTTATGTCCCTCTTTTGACCATAGACTGTAAAAAAAGATGGACGACGCCCCTTCGCTCTTTTCCATCAGAGTGAACTGAAGCCGCCAGTGTCTCGATATGACGCTGACATCTTGGACTTGAGTCTGCGCACTTGCGTGTTTCGGGACCAGTCATGCGTGAGCAGGAAGTAAAGCCGCGAAATCAAGGCCGTGCCCTCATTCTCGCTGAATCAAACGCAAGCACACGCCCCGCACTTTCATTAAGTGGCCTCTGTCTGCTTCGTTCTTCTCCAATAATGTCTGGTGGTTGCAGAACCTCGTTTAAATAAGTTAAATACAACTACTAACCACATAATCAACATTATTAAAAAAAAGTCCGCTGGTGCTACAGTGACTACCTCGCACAGAGAACCTGTCAATCACAGCTGTCAATCATGATGTCAGAGCACCGTTATTTTATCATCACATAACTAACTAAAAACAAACTTATTTTAAAAACCAACACTTGAAATTACATCAACGTGATAGAAACTATAATAAACGACAGAAACTATCTTTGGAAAAAGGATATGTGAAGTGTAATTTAATTGTTTAGTTGGTCTCGCGTCCCATTGAATAACATGGGGTGGCGCGGGTTATGAGCTATACTAGGTCCGGTCACAGGGGGGCGATCAAGACGTTTTGGCTTCACTTTTGAGGGCTTGTGAGGCACGCTTGCTTTTGACAGCTACGCAACTACCACTTTATCTCCACAAAAAGTTCATAAAGAGATCGTAGAGCTGATCCATATGAAATAAGCGGTTTAGTCTACATGTTCTAAAGAGACTTGATTGCTTTTTATAATACACAGATTGAATTTAGACTTTTATTCACATATAAACATAAATCAACTCACAAATCAGTTGTGTTAAACGGAAGCTCAAGCATGTTCGCTTGATGTGCGAGAACCAATGAGGTTAATTCTCGTGTTACGCATCACGTTTGAGCTTCTGTAAGAACCAATGAGGTTTGTTCTTTTGTGTCAAGCATGTTCGGTTGAGCTTCTGTTTATGTTTGCTGATCAATGTTTAGAAAGCTAAATGAAATCTGTTCATCAAATCTGTTCAGCAATCGAGTCTCTTCAGAAAATGTGGGCTAAACCGCTCAATTTATACGGATTAGTTTTAAAATTTCTTTATGAACTTTTTGAAGCGTCAAAGTGGTAGTTGTGGAGCTGTCAATGTAATTAATGACAGAATTGTCATTTTTGGGTGCTGAAATGGAACAAGATGACCTTCCAACTCACCTTAAACACCTTGAGCAGTGTCTTCATGTAGAGTCCACGGATGCCAAAAGACAGACCAAAAATGGCAGGAACAATGATGAAGACCAAAAGCAGTGTGATCCACAAAGTGAAAGAAATGCCCAACAGCATGCATAGCAGATTACTAAAAGGAGAAATAAAAGGGCCCATTTTTTTTGAGTTTCTTTCAAGAAGAAAATAAATAAATTGGAAAGGGAAGTGGACCCCCCAAAAGCCAACTTTCTCAAGCACTTTTAGGGTCAAAGTCTCCAGAGCATGATGTGGAATGAGTCCATAAAAAAGACTGGTGACATTATAAAGTCTGTCATATCCATTAGTGTACAACTGGATGAGGCAAACAAATCTTTCGGTGTGTGAGGCGGCGATTTACTTCGCTTTTAATGAATTATACATTGGCAACTTTGCAACTTCAGATCCCTGTAGACTCAGAGAACATGACAGCTCTTCCCTCAGAGCTCTGAAATGAAGAAACCTGGAGAATGGGAAAGAAAACATACAGATAAAGGATTACAGTTCACTCAAGTACAACCGAAATCAAACAGATAGTGACGCACCCACCAAAGTAAATGCAACAGGTTGATCACAAAGCCAAACAAAGTGGCCTGCATTCAGTAAAAGCTACACTCGGATCTCAAACAAGGAGATATTTGAGCTCTTAGAGCTCCCACGAGTACAGTGGTGGGAGACACACTTACATAACAGAGAAGAGAGAGAAGAGAAGAGAAGAGAAGAGAAGAGAAGAGAAGAAGAGAAGAGAAGAGAAGAGAAGAGAATTAGACTAATGCATCTAATGTCAAAATTTTACTCTAATAGGTGAAAGTATCCAGCTAAAAATAAAAATATACAAGTAATCTGAAACCAGTGGCCCCATAATGACATACACGACAGCAAACTTTTGAAAAACGAGATTCAAAGTGCAAGTTTTTGAAACCGATACTGTTATTATTGTCTCCATGTAAACTACAAAAACATGAATTTGTGAACAGTGACATCATGCACATGCGTGTTAAGTCTATAGGCGTGTAGCCTAGTGTTTCTTTACAAAGTGATATACAGCATACAGCGTTTTCAGTTGTTTTCACAGATCCTTATGAATCAAGTTGACACAAAAACCGCGAAAAACTTTTACATTTTTATTACATCGTCGTTGTGTAAATATTAATGTACCCTAGAACAATTTATTTTTGGTTGAAATAAAATATTAAATTAAATATATAGATAAAAGAAATATTAGATTTTTTTTAAACATTGCTTAAAACTTGAACAAAACTTAGAAATGCTGCCTTGACAACTGACTAAAATAAATAACTTTAATGACTTAATAAAATGGAAACGACAAAAGCACACAACAAAATTATACTTAAATTATAATTATACGGAAATATAAAATAAAAAAAGGAAAATATTACACTATTAAATAAAATAAAATACTATACTAGTATTTAAATAATACAAACACTGTCTGAACCTAACTGAAGAAAACTGAGATACACAATTAAGATTTTCAATGAAGTAAATTTGAAGCACAAACAGTTACTAAACTATGCAAAGTAACCCTATTAATCACTATTAATCATTTTTTAGAAAATGCATGCAGTTAATTTGATTAAATTACATGTTAAAAGGTTCAAATAAATTACTTCATTTTTTTTTTTTATTAATTTCCAAAAATTAAATTCACTGGCTGTTTAAAAAAAAAGTAAAATGAATGGATTAAATTAATGTCAGCTTGTCAACTAAATATGACAGACGAAACTATCCATATAACCAATATATATATCCATATAATCGAAATATAATTTTGATTAGTTAAAACAATTCTTAGAAACGTAGAGTACAACTAATCAGTTTCAACAGTACTCGACTAGCAGCAGTAGCCTTGTTATGAAGTACAATTACTCAAGACAAGTACTTACGCCTCATGTTGTAATGTTGTGTCGCTGTTAAAAAATAGAAACACTTGATCCACTTGACTAGATGACTTTATGAGCAGGTAATCTCTGGCAGCTTAAGCTTTCAGCTAGTTGGTGGATGAACAGAGGCGGATGGTCTGAATTTTTTGCCTATCATTTTACACAGACGAGCTCATCCTAGCATCACGTGTGCTGGTATCTATTAAAAAACACTTACTCGGCGCTTTATGGAGCTGCTTCGTTCTCAAGCTGAAGGCGCGTATTTATCGTGCTTACCCGACACCGGCAGAACTGACTGTCACGGAAAGGATGCAAAACAGAAGATCCGCATGTCGTGAGTGACGTACAAACTGACGCGTGTCCGTGACCACACCAGTAACGGATTTACATGAGGCAGACGGATACTTTCCACCAGGGGGCGATTAGAGCATAGAATATGTAAGTAGAATTCAAAATTCGACTGCTCAAGACACGTCGACGAGCCCGCCATGTTGGAACGGTCAGAGCTGCGCAGAGCTGATTGTGAAACTGCCGATATTTAAAAGAAAAAAGAAAAGAAAAGAAAAGAAAAGAAATAAACCGCCGAGATTTAAATTCCCGAAGAGATGGGTTAACCTTTTACTAAAGAGAATGTGTTGTTTTGTGCTTTAATATGTATTAACTCAATATAACCAGTTTTACTATGGTACTTTTTGTGTTTTTTTTTCTTTCACTATGGTAATTTTTAATGTTGTGTTACTTTACAAGATGTGTTGTCTTCATCCTGTTAATTTAGCACCTGCGCATCTGCAAATAGGCTATGATATGGCGGATAAAAGAACCTGATATGGCGGATAAAAGAACCTTTAATGAGGTATCTAACAATGTGTGTAGGCTATATATATATATATATATATATATATATATATATATAGCATCGATGCTCAGAATTGCCCTAGAAGTCATTAAAAATATTTTTATTTTTATTTTAAAATATTTTTACCACATTTTTTTATTTTTAATCACAAACAGATGTGTTTGGTTAATCATGAGAAGCACTTGTTAAAGACAAGTAATAGGTTTAATGTTCTCTTTGCTGCTTCCACTATACAGGTTGAAAACCTATTCACTCGGAACAATGACAGAGAAACTACAATACTATTTTATGTAAAATGGACATTGAATATATTAAATGGATTAATTATTAAGTATTATTTGTGTTATTACCAATAAACAGGCAAATTCCAAGTCACATCCCCAGCCCTACCAGAGATAGTCTTATTATTAATTTGAAAACAGTTCAGTTTTCATAAGACATAGGAACATTAAAATCCACCTGGTGGTGCTGCAGGACTGTATTCGATTGCCATTATAATTGCCCCAAAGACATATGTCCATAATAATCATAATGTCAGCTAAATATAATACCTTTTGGTAATATGAGTCACTGACAATGTTTTTTTTAAAAAAAGGAATCAAATCATATAAACCAAATGTGTGGTTGTGTGAAACTGTATTGATGTGTTTTGACTTGATGTCATTTTGTGAAAAAATTACATCCAGTTTCACAAAGATAGAAATAAAACAACCTCCAAATGAACTACAATAGGCCTAATCATATCATGAGTGATATCGTAGTCAAGTCAAGTCAAGTATATTTATATAGCCCTTTTCGCAATATCATCAAAGCAGCTTCACAGTATAAATCAAAACATAATAACAATGTTCATTTCTAAGTGGAAAAATATATACGTTTGGTGGGTATTACTGATTGCTTAATTAATTTAAATATCATAGCTAAACACGTAGGCCTATGTGTGAGGCATGTAAACCAATGTGCACTAATAATAAACATCATTTCTGTCATGACAACTCTTTGCAACTCATGACAACTCTCGTGTTTGGTGTGGTAATGGATGTTAATGTATTTTTGGAATAGATCTGCTACACTGCTGCTGCTGTTATTCATAGTTTACAGTCACATGACTGTCGTGGAGTCCTGGCCGGGCAAAATAGAACTAGAAATAGAATAGAACAAAATAGAACAGCACAAGCATGTCAATCTCCATCTTAAACACAAAAATATGTGAACAAAATGCAAGGTTTGGGCACTTTTGATCCATGCAGCAACTGCTGCGGCTGCAATATTTCAATCAGTAAAAACAGCGGAACGTTTTGCCCTATTTTCACGGAGTTTGCGTAGAAAGGCTGTTAGAATTAAAATCCCCCTGCAGTCAATAATTGTATCCCTTAAAACTCACATTTGAACACCAAATTACATATTTAAAAGTTTTTTTCTTGAAAAAAACCTTGCCTCATTTAGTATACATGGTTCCATGAAAATGCAAATTAGCACCACCTCCACTCACTCACACATGGGGACTTTAAAGCGCTGATCAATGGGCTATATGCACGCATAAGTTCCGCATTTGACGAAAAGATGCTCGTCCATTTCCGGTTGTGGAGATTAAAGCGGAGGAAAACCGAGGAAAACGGGATTATGGCAGAATCTTCAAAATTTACTGTCCTCCCGTCTTTGAAACGAAACGTACATACGTTTAGATGTAATATAGTTATGTTTATTTAATATAATTTAAAAAAGAAGCATAAACACAACAAGGGGTGTCTGTTTTATCTATTTTTGTGACTAACGTTTCTTTAGTATAACCATGGAGTATAAAATTCAATATAAATTCTCGGTATTACATTGGACTCTACGATCGGCGGAAGTTATCGAGCATCCTTACACATTCACCGGAAATACCGCCATGCATAGAGCCCATAGGCGGAGGGTGAACCAGTGCCAGGCTAAGGAGGTGCCTAATCCATATTGGTGCACCCTTAAAGTGCCTTAATGTCCAGATCAAATTCAGTTAACACACTTTTACATTGGCAATATAGCGCTTTCATATGTAGGCCTACTGTACACCCAAAGCGCTTTACAATCATATCAGGGGTTCTCTCCTAAGCCAGGACCAATGTGCAGCATCCATTTGGATGATGAGACGGCAGCCACAGTACAACGACGTCAGTGCGCTCACAACACACCAGCTATAAGTGGAGAGGAAAGAGAGTGATAGAGCCAAGTCAATGGATGGGGATTATTAGGGGAATTTGAGGGAATGTGCCAGGACACTGGGGTTACACACACTCTTTACGAGAAGTACCATGGGATTTTTAATTACCACAGACAGTCAGGACCTTGGTTTAACATCTCATCTAAATGATGGTACATTATAGTGTCCCCGTCACTATACTGGGGCGTTAGGACCCACACAGACTACAGGGTGAGCACCCCCTACTGGCCTCACTAACACCTCTTCCAGCAGAAACCTGGTTTTCTCAGGAGGTCTCCCATCCAGGTATTAACCAGGCTCAGCCCTGCTTGGCTTCAGTGGAAACCAGTCATGACAACTTGACATTACTAAGACAACACAACTTGTCATAAACATGGCATAGCAGATTAATTATCAAACTTAAGAAACCACCTGTCTTTATTGGTTCACATTACATTAAACAGGTAGTTGGTTTTGACATTGGCTGTCATGAAGCCATTATAACTTTTTAATGACATATTATATTTAGTACAACTGTTGTTGGAGGTCACGAAAAATATTCATGACACAGTTATGATGGCCTCATGACAGCCTATGTCAAAGACAACCACATGACAGTTTAACTTAATTTTATGTCAAGTTGTCATGACAAAGACACTGACAGGTTATGATGTTATGGTTTGTCAAGATGGTGTTACCAGTTCTTGAAACACATCTTCAGATACACCTAAACACATCATCAGTGATGTAACCTGGGGTCCTCGAGTGTTTCGGGTCTTTCAACATCAGACACCCTCTCCCAGGCGACCCAGCTACAGCTGATCTGACCACGACTTGTGTTCAGGTAGCACTCGCTTGCCCCCATGGTGCTCCTCTATGGATCCAGGGCCATCTCGAGGCTCTCTCTGCTGCGTCGGTGGTGTTCTTTATGGCCCTGCTCCTTGTTGTTCCTGCAATGCCCAGCGCAGTAAAGGCTTTGTGGAGGGAGCGCCCCACAAATCCTCTGCAGCCAACCTCGATAGGCATGCATCTCGCAAGCATCTGGTTGTGACGCCAAGTGTAACGACCCTGGCCGAGCGCTGTTGGGCAGGAGCTCAAAATGTGCTCCAGCGTTCCACAAGCTGGGCACAATTGGCAAGTTGGTGTGTGTGCTTTCCCTGACGTACAAAGATTTGCTGGGCTTGGCAGGACATCGTACACTGCCAGAATCAGGAAGGCTATGCGGTGCGGCTCGCTTTGCCAGAGCTCTGTCTAGGTGACCTTGCGGTCCATGGCCTGCTCCTACCTGGTCCAGGCCCCTGTTGCCCCATTCCAGCAGCTCTGCTCGTCCTTCCTTCCTCCATAGTAGCTCTGACCTCTTCATATATTTGCCTGTGCTTCTCCTTCCACTTCAACTCTTTATGTCGAGGAGGTGGTGGGAACATCCCCAAGCCTGCTCTGCCTCGGGCCACAACTCCCACAAGCTCTTTGTGCTGCAGTCAAGCCTGTGCATCCAGCACAGCGGTTTGGGCCCTCCACTTCCTCCCTGACTTCACCAGCACTCCTGCCTGGGCCACCTTTGGGTCGTCGGAGTCTTTATACATCAGAACCTCGCGTGCCTGAGTCACTTTAAACTCCTCTTCCAGGGATTTCAGGGGCAACCGGAGCATTGTGGTGTTTCCATAGAGGGCGATGTTGCTGAGACTCCTGGGCAACCCTAACCATCTCCTGAGACAGTTGCTGACCTTTCGTTCCAAGGTCTCCACCGTGGATATGGGAACCTCATACACAAGTAGCGGCCAGAGTATTCTTGGCAGTATACCATGTTGGTAGATCCACGCTTTAAACTTGCCGGGGAGGCCAGAACGGTCTGTCACTCTTAACCAGCTGTCCAGCTCCTGAACGGTTAACTGGACTGATGCGAAGTCTCTGAGGCTACTTTCAAAAACCTTTCCCAAGCTTTTCACTGGCTGTTCTGACAGTGATGGTATCTCTACTACTTTGATGCTGAAATGGAACCTGTCTGTGACCTTGCCCTTCTTCAGCACTAGCGAACGGGACTTGGCTGGTTCCACCGGATGAGCTTTTCCAGCCCTTGGAGTATCCACCTGCTTCCTGGCACTGACTCTGTGGTGACTGTCAGGTCATCCATAAATGCTCTGATTGGCGGTTGGCAGACCCCTCCTCTGCTTTGGGGCCCCCAACACTCAGGCTCTGCCGATTTGACAATCATGTTCATAGCCACCGCAAATAGGATCACAGAGATGGTGCAGCATGTGATTAATCCACCCTCCAGTTTGTGCCAATCTGATGTCACACTTCCTGCAGAGACTCTCATCCTGAAATGGTTGTAATAGTCCAAGATCAGATTCTGCAATATGCTGTGGCACATGGTGCTTGGTCATGGTGGTTTGGACCAGCTTGTGGGGGATAGAGCATTATGCATTGGCTAGGTCTAACCACAGTACCGTGAGGTCTCCCTTGTGTTCACGAGCTTCCCGGATAAGCTGAGTCACCACTCCTGTGTGTTCTAAGCACCCAGGGACTCCAACAATTCCTCCCTTTTGCACAGATGTGTCTATATAGTTGGTAGTTAAGAGGAAGTTGGTTAGACACCTTGCTACTATACTGAAGAAGATCTTGCCTTCCACGCTCAGCAATGATATTATTCTGAACTTATTGATCTTCTTGGAATCTTTCTCCTTGGGGATCCAGACTCCATCAGCAAATCTCCACTGTTGTGCCACCTTTCCTCTTCTCCAAATGACTCGAATGATCTTCCAGAGTTGCCTGAGTAGCAAGGGGAAGTTCTTGTAGACCTTGTATGGGATTCCACTTGGTCCAGGGGCAGAGCTAGATCACAACCTCCTGGACTTCTTTCAACAGTGGCTCCCTGCTGTCAAACTCTTGGTGGGGGGAGGTGGATCTATAATATGTTGCACTGGCCCAACTCTTCCTCCCGGAGAGGGTCACTGTAAGTGCTGTGCAGATGCTGGTCAATTTCCTTTTTTGAACAGAGCAACTTGCAGTCGCGCTTCTGTCCCAGGAGCTGTTTAGTAAAGCCGAAGGGGTTGGCAATAAATTAAGCTCTCTTTCTGGAGCTCTCCTTTCGACGCCTTCTGTGCCATTCTGCTCTGCGCAAGGTCATCAGCCTTTTCCTCAAGACAGCTCTCAACTCCTCCAGGTGGGGGCTCCTCACTGGCTTCCTTGTACTGCTTCTTGAGGGACTTCAACTCCTGCCGGATTTTGTGGATCTTCGCTGCTCTGTGGTTCATGGAATAGGTGGTTGGAGTTGATCGCTTCTCCTCGGCACCGAACCCCTCCTGCGCTAGGCTGGAGATGATGGTCGTCATTGTCTGCAGCCTTCGATCCACATCTCCCTTCTCTGTTGCTTCAAGCACCTTGTCAACGTCCTCGTCGAACTGCCTCCAGACTGCCGTCTTACAGGCCTGTGGCCACTTGATTCGCACCTTTGCCTGGGGCAGAAGACTTGGGGGACGGTTAGTGGCACACGGAGGCTCTGAGTGCTATGGCTCGGCTCCTCCTGCGTCTCATCAGATGTAACATCTGTGCGCTGTGACACATGTTCGTTCTCCAAACACTTCATCCTGGCTTGGTGGATCTTTAGGCCACGGCTGTTTTTGCAGGTTTATCCGCACCTGCATACTGCGGTCGTTGTCGTTTCTCCATTCCCATTAGTCGGTAACCTTGGGTCTGTCAGATTGGGGTTCTCATTCTCCCCCCCTCTCGGGCTCCCCTGGGGGTATACTTCCATGGGTCGATCTGTAGCTTCAAAAAAGGGTTCCTCCTCTCGGAAAATGTGGTTTTGGGCTGCCAACCCTTCCCACCCCTAGTGCTGTCTTCCCAAGCTTCCAACTGTCTCTCCAGTAGTCACCAGCCTCTTCCTGGTTGGCATCCATTCTATTCCTGGGAGTCACTGGTCACACAGCCAGAACAGGTAGTTCTTGAAACACATCTTCAGATGCACCTGAACACATAATCAGTGATTTAACCAAATAAAAAAATTTGAAAATGAAATTGTCATTAGAGTCAGACTGGCATACAAGAAAGCAAATTTTGTGGATAATTCAACCCACACAAATCCTGACGTCAACCTTTAATCAGGAAACTAGACGGGTCAGCTGTGAAGCGGGACTTCTGACCTCTACATGAAGGCTAAACCAGAGAACAGAGCCTGACCAGACTGTTTTCTAAGGAAAGGTTAATCTTTGAAGTGACACAAATGATGCCACTGTTGACCTTTAAATGTAATGGGGGAAAATCATTATCCACATCGGATCTGAGAACAGTGTGGATCTCTGTGATATAACTGTTTTGGGGTAGGTTAGTGGGTGCGAGAGCTTATCTGAAACCAGTTGTGGGGATTTTAGACTAAAAGTAAACAATTCTTGTTATGCTACACACAGAGGAGAGAGAGGTGGCTTATAGGACATTAAATGTGCTGTGATTGGACACTGTGCATTGAAAGAGAGGATGAACAGACCAAACCGAACATTAAAACTCACACATTCAGTTAATCACAGATGAGAAACTCCACCACCTCCTCCACCATCCAAACAGGTAAGGGAAAAAAATCATCACAATACAGTTTGGTTACAGCTCACTATAATTTGTTGACATTAATTATTATTAATGCATTAGAGATCAAGAATAAGTTTCAATAAGTCTCTTATGTCACTAAGGCTGCATTTTTTTGAAATATCATTACAGTTTATGAAAATGTTTTTCTTTTTAAATATATTTGACAATGTAATTTAGGCTATCCCTGTGATGGTAAAGCTGAATGTTCATCATCATTACTCCAGTCCTCAGTGTCACATGATCCTTCAGAAATTATTCTAATATGATGATTTGACAAGAAACATTTCTTATTATAAATGTTGAAAACAGTTGTTTTAATATTTTTGTGGAAAGCAATACATGTTTCTGTATTGTTTGATTAATAGAAGGTCATAAATGCCTTTACTCACAGTTTTGATCAATTTAATGAATCCTTGCTGAAAATATTTATTATTTATTTAAAAAAAATTAAAATATTTAAAATATTAATTAAAAAACTTTTGAATGCTAGTGTAGATTAATAAGTACTGTAACGTTTACATTTTGACTTCTACTTGCATTTTATTGCTACGTTGTTGGTTAAAATTTTATAAAAAAAAATGTATGAACAACAGACAACAGCTGTCACTTTGTGACTGTGAAGTTAGGAGAACTGCAACAGTAAATTGTGATTATAATATGAAATAAGAATTGTGTTTTGATTTTAGTGATGACCATTATTTTATTTAATTGTCAAGTTGAAGATTGTTCTTGACTTATGAGTTTATAAATACAGTATTTTAGTAAAAAAAAACATTATCATTCAAATAATGTATTCAAATAAAGCATTCATTATTTTAGTAATACATTTTTACTAAAATACTGTAAATACCGTATTATAAATACTGTATTTATCAACTGATAAGTCAAGAGCAATCAAAATAATGAATGAGTGGTTAAAAAGAATTGGTACCATAAAATATTCAGTAGAAATAGCATGTATTAAAACTATTATATCACCATTTTTCAATAATTTTAGGCTTTCCTATTTTAGTGAATTTATAGAAATCTTTTTTTTTAGTTAATTGCCTTCAACTCTAATGGGGGCACCTGTAACAATACTTGTATTAAATAATGATCCAGTCTTTCTCAATATAAATTGGCCAACATTACAGTAGGTACATGTTTCTTAGATTTGTTTTAGTGTGTGACTTATAAAGGAAAATGCAAAACTTAGCTCAATTTTATGAGTTAAGCTGGTTATAATTTGCACAAGGTAAAATATATTTGTTCAAATGAGGATTGTAGAAATGGTCATGTTGGTGTAAAATGTTATAACAATATTGTTGATTAATATTTTTTATGTGCATCCTTATTCATGTATTTATGCCCTATTTGATATCATTTTGTAGTACAAATAGTGCAAGTAGTGTGTCAATGTGTGTTAATGTGTTACAATGATATTCACTTTACTGCACTCTAAAAAATACTGGGTTGTTATAACCCAATTTTGGGTCAAATGTGAACAAACTCAAACATTGGGTTAAAAATGTAATTTAAAAAACCCAATGGCTGATCGTCCATATTTGACTCAAAATTGGGTTAAAACAACCCAGCATTTTTAGAGAGTAATCTAAATAATTAGTAGTTCTTTCTTAAAGATGCAGTGACAAGTCATTACTATTTAAAACCTCACAAAAACCTCAACAAGTATAATAACTTCAGTCAATAGAGTGGTCATGCTTTTAACTTTATAATACTGATCCAAATCATTAGTAATTCCTTCTGAAGGATTTAGTAATACTTGAGTCATTACTAGAGGATGACCATTACCTCCAGTTTATAGAATTAATATGCATTATGCATTATTGATGTTAATTATGAACCTGTAGTAATTCTTAGAAGTTCTCTGAGATGTATAGTTATTGGTTAGCATTGTAATAGTGAACTACCGCATTCAACTGAGTGCAATTACTTACTGATTCGTTAATCAGAGTTTCTTGTTACTTAAAGGAGAAGTTCACTTTTTTTTTAAACTATATAATTTACTCACCCCCATGTCATCCAAGATATCCATGTCTTTCTTTCTTCAGTCGAAAAGAAATGAAGGTTTTTGATGAAAACATTCCAGGATTTTCTCCATATAATGGACTTCAATGGGACCCAAACGGTTCAAGGTCCAAAAGATTCAGTGCAAACTGTTCAAAGGGCTTTTAACGATACCAGACGATGAATAAGGGTCTTATCAAGTGAAACGATCGCTCATACATTTTTTTTTTTTTTTTTTTTTTTTTAACGTTTTATAAGCACAAATGGTCGCCTTGCTCTGTTCTATGATGAGGGTTCGTGACTCTCCTGTTCGAACTCGTTTATCAAAATGAATGAATCTTTTTTCGTGTCATTTGGTTCATTCAACAAATGAAATGAACGAGTTGACTCTGGAAAAGATTTGTTCATTTTGATGAACGAGTTTAAACAGGAGTCACGAACCCTCATCACAGAACAGAGCAAGGCGACCATTTGAGCTTATAAAACTTAAACTTTTTTTTTTTTTTTTTTTTTTAAATGAGCGATCGTTTCGCTTGATAAGACCCTTATTCATCATCTGGTGCCGTTTAAAGCCCTTTGAAGCTGCACTGAAACCGTCTTTTGGACCATGAACCGTTTGGTTCCCATTGAAGTCCATTACATAGAGAAAAATCCTGGAATGTTTTCATCCAAAACCTTAATTTCTTTTCGACCTTAAGAAAGAAAGACATGGATATCTTGGATGACATGGGGGTGAGTAAATTATCAGCAAAAGTTTTTTTAAAAGTGAACTACTCCTTTAATAGTTACTTGAATGTTAATAGTGCGTTACTCATTTCTTCCCGTGTAATTATTCATTAATGACAGAACTGTATTCCAAAGTGTTACCAAATAAACTTAATATAAGTGTGTAGTGTATAGTTCGTTATATGTTAAATTGTATTAAACGTGTATTAACTTTTTAAAACTGTTTTTTTCCCCCCTAGTATTATCAATCACAATGTGGATCCTTCAGAAAGTACAGGCGGGAGCAGAAAGTCTTCCGATGCAGATTAATCATCTCATTAGCAAACATAAAGAGGAGATTTCAGCCAAGACCAGCATCCTCAATAAACTGCACTGCAACGTCCTCACGCCTGATAAAATCCCTGACTTTTTTCTGCCGCCCAAGCTGACCAAGCACTCCCTCATGGCAGACGCAGGAAAAATTGTGCAATGTCTGAACGAAGAAAAAAAAGTTCCCAGCTCAGCAAAAACATCATTGTCAAGACCCGGTACTTCCCAGCCACTAAGAGCGAGTCTAAAAAAATCTACAGCAGCCTTGAACAAACTCAAACCCATTCCATATTCGCTGAAATGCTACGAGTACGGTTTATTCGAGAGTCCGAACACACGTCGCAAAGAGTCTTTGTTCCATTCGACGTTTACCAGTTACACACTAGAACGAATGACCATCAAAACACCCAAATCTTCCTGTAGAGCAATGCTGAAAGCAGCCAGCACTGAGAGTGACACGCCCTCTGCTGACTCCTCCCCTTATTCCACTCCTCCACCAATCAGAAGAGAGGATTTCACCAGCAAACAGTCTTTGTCTGAAGATCCAGTTCAGCAAGATATTCAAGCCACTAAAAATGAGAAAAATAAAGATCACTCCTTACCTGACAAAACGTCCATGTCAAAAGTGCATCACCATGCTAAAGTTATTCAAACGTCCCATTGCACCAAACTAGCCCCGCCCATCCAATTCCCACTGGACATGCTGCACTGCCAGGAACGCTTCCACCAGGAACACGTGCTTCCTCTTCCTCAGAGAGGCCGAGTGCGCATTTCTGCCTTCAGGTCCAGTGCAGCCAGGTGCTCTATGACAATTCGCATCCGAGTAATCTCGGTGGAAGGCTTGAGAGATCCTGGTGACCCCCGACCTTTGACCTGCAGCTTGACCCTAAGCCTCACCCCAGGCAAGCTGCAGAGGCAACACAGCGCCATCATCAGGAACTGCCGCAACCCTGTGTTCAATGAAGACTTCTTCTTTCAGGAACCAGAGGAGCAGCAGGGCATGGGAGATCTGGCCCTCAGACTGAAGGTGCTGGACAAGGCCTCAGGATTGGGCAGAGGAGTGGTGCTGGGAATTGTCATCAAACCTCTCTGTCAGCTACTGCCACTGTGAGACACTAACACTCAAAGAAACACGCTCCATAGAGTTTACACTGAACAAAATGCTGTTTTATAAGAGAAGTCACAGATTGCTTGACAGGTATGATTCAGTTTACGGCACTTCTCATTCCTTTCTATGGTATCCGCAAACAGTGATTGACTGTCAAACATCTCTGAATGAAATTCAATGATGTCAAGGTTGTAAAGTGATTGGTTATCAAGGCTCGCATGATCCAAGAATTCTTTTTCTTTTTTTTTCAACATGATGTGCCATTAGGGCCTCCATAGTTTTAAAGCTCAGTTGTATCTTTATGTTTTACCATGCTAGGTGATTACATGCTTGTTTTGAGCTGTGAAAGTTGTGTTTGACAGTTATTAATTTATAAGATCGAAACATAACCTTTACAACCAGTCGGAAATTATTATTTGTAAAATAATACATCTTTTTAATTTCTCAAATAAAAGTACTTTGTGTTGCTTTTTATTGTGTTGAGTATTTACTGTATGAGTTAGTGTCTGACATTTAAATAACGTTCCTATAACCCCTTTTTTTCTTGTGTTCCGACCGGACTAAATTGGGGATTTTTTAGTTCCTCAGACCGTAGTTCCTATAACTCTTTCAGTACCCAGTCTAGAGCGAGGACTTTTTGGTAACACTTTATAATAACTGCACGCTATTAATCATTATGAGTAAACAGTTAATTCATCATTTATAAAACATTAATAGACATTAATATGCAGTTTATAAATATAGCTATACATGCTTTTTTCTTGATTTATAAGCATATCTATAATGCGTTTAATGATTGTATTTTCATACTTTGTTAATGATCAATTAATAATTTCTAAATGAAGTATAGCATTATTTGCAAACCAGTTGTTTAAGAGTTGTCAGTCATTTATAAGACCACTTGGAAAGTGTAAGTAAATGTAGTAAATACAGGTAGTTATAAAGCATTTATTAGTGGTCAGTTAACTATTTTTGTGAGCTAATCTAAAGTGAGGACTATTCATGCTTTGTAAAGCATTTATAAAGGCGATTTAATGACTCGTCAATCTTCTAAACAGTAAAATGTAACAAACACAACACAGTGATACAGAACATAGAAATATTTAACAGCCTTTAAAAATGCTTTACAAGGCATGACTAGTCCTCACTTTAGATTAGGTCACAAAAATAGTTAACTGACCACTACTAAATGCTTTATAACTACCCAAATTAATCCTTAATTACAGCATTAATACATGTTAATAAAGCATTTATTAACACATTAAGTAACCACACTATATGTCTGAATAATAAGATGTATGAATGTACATTTAAATAGTTTATTAATCATTTATGAACCACGGACAACTCTTAAATAACTGGTTTATAAAAAATGCAATTCTTCATTTAGAAATGATAAATTGATCATTAATAAAGGATGAAAATACAATTATTAAACAAATTATAGATATGCTTTTAAATCAAGAAGAAAGCATTTATAGCTGTATTTATGAACTGCTTATTAATGTCTATTAATGCTTTATGAATAATGAATTAATGGTTTACTCATGCTTAACTAATGATTATTAGCGTGTAGTTATTATAAAGTGTTACCGTTCCTCAGACCGTAGTTCCTATAACTCTTTCAGTACCCAGTCTAGAGCGAGGACTTTTTTAGTTCCCGTTCCCTAGGTCTACGCTGATTGGTTCAACTTATCATGCCCACTGTGAACACGGAACTTGTAGCGCGCTGTCTTCCATACGCTGTGTGTTTTTGCAAAACATTACAACGAGGATTAAGACAAACATAACGCATTCAACAAGCTAATTGCTAATAATAGCTAAACTTACTCGTCGTTTTGTTTGCCTCCTGTGCTCTGCTCTTTTATCTTCTTCCATCATATTACTTAATATCATATTACGCTGGAGCCTTCGTCTTCTGTGTTTCTCTGAACAGAACTCAAGCATAATCTTTAAACGCCACCGTTCGTTCTCCGCTATTAAGGTCCCGGCAAGGCAGAACAGGAACATTGCAATAGCCTCCTCCATGCTGGTTTGTTGTTGTTGTATGTGGCCGCGCTACGTCTAGTGATGACGCTATAAAGACCGTCGCCGTGCTTGCGTTACCCCCCCTACCAGTTCCTATGGCCACTTGGCCAGTGCGAACGCAAGCAACAAAACCGAGTTTGGGGGAGAGTAGTTCTTAGAACTGTTTAGAAGTGGACAGTTCCTATAACTAAGTTCCTGTAACTACTTGGTCGGAAAGCGGCTATATATTCTTTTTAGAAATGGTATAGTATTGTCACACAAATCAGTCAGGCTCCACCATCAGCCAATCACAGAGGTCGATTATCAGAGCACTGATCCCCAGGTCTCGTCCGAGGATAGGACTTGCTTACCTGTTGTCTCACAAGTTCCCGAAATGTGTGTTACCTCACGCCAGCAAAACTGTCATTGTCATTCAATTATTCAACACCAAACTATACTGTATATGTCTTTGAGCATCAGTTCGGCAACAAGACCACACCAACATAATTTCAGGATGTGCAACTCATTATCACTGAAGCCTCTGATGTATCTTTCTCTCATCGACTCTGGGTCAGCCGGAAACTTCATCTCTGGAAGCCTCTGCCATGCATCTTAACCTCAAGAAGAGGCACACCAAAACCCATTACCAAGTTCAGTCAATAACTGGAAAACCCATCTGTAGAAACCATGAAGAGATAGACAGTTGGAGCCTTCTAGTTGCAAATTGGACGATTTTTTTTTTTTTTTTTTACAGTGAGTCAATCCCCTTTATGGTTCTGGAGAATTCCACCACTGGTATTCTAGGGCACCCGTGGTTAGTGCAACATGACCCAGACTTATCCTGGACCTGAAGTCCTGAAATGAGACAATAGCTGTGTCCCAGGATGTTTCCGTCATCTTCATCGACCAGTACAGCCACTTCCGGTGAACATGACGTCCATTGACAGCCCTGTGGAACAGCAATACATTTCCAATGTATTTAGACGATTTTCTGATATTTAGAAGAATATCATTAACCAGACAGTTTCTGGTCTCATTGACTTAAGTCAATCTTCTTTGATCTTCTTTCAAATAAGAATGGCCAAATATTTAAGGTGATAACATCTATTTGAAGCCCCCTAATCAAGATGGTTCTCGAAAACCCGCGGTCGCTCCCACGCTATAGGTGATAACCATGACTCTGTGATACTTTTTACATATTACTGAGATTGTAAGGAATTGTCTCTATGATAAATAAGCTCTTTTAAGTGAAGGAACATTTCAATATGTCTTGGAGTGGAAGTTGGATCGGAGCAGACTATAATTTCTTACACCATCCTCGGTTGAACGGGCAAGACGAGAGGAAGATCCAGGAGACTGGGCACTTCCAAAGAACCTTTTGGCATGGCCACCAGAACTCTTGGAACCAATTCCTAGGCTGGGCCTAATACACGCAGATTTGTCAGCCTGCCACCATCACTGAAGTCAGTCCCTTCAAGTGCGAACTCAGCTACCAGCCTCCATTGTTCCCAAGGTGGTGTCCCATCAGTCGATCATTGGTTCCGAGAGAGTGAGAGTATCATATCCCCTTCTGCAGAGAGCAGTGTGCAGACGAAGAACTCAAGCGGAAGTCTGGAGAGTCCAAACACCAAAGGGACAAATCCAACAGGGACAGAAGGTTTGGCTCTCTACCCGTGACATCGAAATGCACCTGCCCTGCAAGAAATTGAGTCCCAGATACGTTGGCCCTTTCACCATCACCTGTCAGTGTCACGATCCCCACACAAGGAACACAGAAAGTTTTTAATAGGGAAATCCGTTACTCACAAAACAATCCAGGCAGGGATCAACATCCATATAAGCAATCCATAACACAAAGAACAATGAGTAGACAGAAACAGACCTCAGACGTGGTGTGATAATAGATGAGGATTCCTTAAAGGACAACCCATCTATACAGTTTAATAAGAAGATATTTTATACATACAGTCAACTTCGCAAAAACAGGAAAAAGCCATCTTTAAAAAATAGTCTCTACCACCCATCGGAGAACTGTTGCAGCAAACTGTGCTTTTCAAAATGCACACTGAAAACTGTCCAGAGGATCTCAAAGCTCTGCTACCCCCACCAGATCTCGTCTGCCGAACCACTCGAAGAGCACGAGCAAGTCACGCACTAAAATTACCCTAGTCTAACACAAAATGCTTGGGAAGAAGCTTTTTTCATTCGGCTGTAACAACTTGGAACTGCCTCCCCTCTACTGTAGTAGGTGAAATCACCTCAAAGAATATTCAGGCCTTCAAGAAGAGACTAAACAAACATCTCCTTAGCAAAAAAACTGTGATATCTTGATGCTTATTGTCACTTATTCCATATTCTTAGTTCTGAGTAGCTGCAGATCACGATAGGCTCTCAGGCCACCAACTGTTAACACTAGAACGGCCACAACGGTCATTTTGACCGTTTTGAATTTTATATCTACAATAACTTTGTTGAAAAAAATAATAAAATCCTGTTGGTACCTGACTTTTCCTAAAATTGTCTGTATTTTCATTTAAAATGCTTTCCATATAAATTAAGTTACGTAAACGTAAGGCAAAACAAAAAAAATGAACATATTTACCTATTTCGGCCATAGACGGTCATATTGACCGCACTGAATTTTGCGGTATTTTTTTGTTAAATATCCCGCGGTTGATCGTGTTCTCTCTCAACTGCCAACAGAAAGGTCCGTCTGGTCACCTCAGTGTTTGCTATATAATAATTTCTACATTAGTTGTTGATCAGAAATAAGCAAATAAAACCGGACTACAGTTAGCCTATCTATAATACTTACGTTATCTATAGGCTATATAGCCTATATATATATATTGCAAGGGTAAAATGTCTAAAATAAATGAGCGAATGAGGTGGAACATGACTCGAACCATGGCCCTGGAGATGCTTCAGAACTTGATGAGTGATGATTCGGATGCAGGGGAACAATCGGAGGTGGAAAGTGACAGCGACGTTTCCTGGGTGCAAGTTTTCCTCCTCATTAGAGAGTGATTCAGAGTCAGAGTCCAAATCAAGGAAAAAGAGACGGCTGCTATCATCAGACACGGCGGATCCAGATGTTCTGTTCATGTCGGATGATCCTGGTGAGCTCTGCTGCCCTATCCTGCGCTGTTTCTTTTGCTGCACGGGCTGTTCACTAGTTCTGCTAGTCCTATTATTATTATTATTAGCCTTCGCAAATCGTCACTATCTAACATTTTCGTCATAGTTTTTGTCATTCAAACCTAGTTTTTATTTAGTTATCATATCGTTTTCGTCTTTGAAAAAATGTGGTTGACGAAAATAATTACGAAAATTATTCGTCAACACTGTTTTGAATCTAACGGTCAAAATGACCGTCTGTGGCCGTTCTAGTAGTTTTGGAATTCTGGCACTTCTAGTGT